ACAGAAGTAGGATTGCCCAACCTTCCTTCCAAGGAGTGGCTGATGGGTTTGAACCGCCAGCCTTCTGGTTAGCAGTCAAGTGCTTAGGCACTATGCTACCAGAGCTCCTCATTAGAGAGATGCAAATCAAAACAACAATGAGATATCATCTCACCCTAGCAATAATAGCAAAGTTCAGCAGGTTAAAAAATAACAAATGTTGGCGAGGTTGTGGAGAGATTGGAACTCTTGTGCACTGCTGGTGGTATTATAAAATGGTACAACCATTGTGGCGAACGGTGTGGTGTTCCCTTAAAAAACTGAAAATAGAAGTACCATTTGACCCAGCAATTCCATTACTAGGAATATATCCTAAAGAGGTGAGAAATAGCACATGAACAGACATATGTACACCGATGTTCATTGCAGCACAATTCACTACAGCAAAGAGATGGAAACAACCTAAATGCCCATCAACAGAAGAGTGGATAACCAAATTATGGTATGTCCACACAATGGAATACTATGCCACATTAAAGAACAATGAGGGATATGCAAATCATCTCACATTGTGGATGAACCTGGAGGACATTATGCTGAGTGAAATAAGTCAATCGCAGAAGGACAAGTACTGTATGAGCCCATTACTGTAAAAAGACAAAGGTTTGCTTGGGAAAGGGAACTCACTTAGTAGGTTACCGAGATGGGGAGGGAAGGGAAGGGATTAATTTCAGGCTAGTTGGGGCCTACACGCTGACATGGGTAGGGGGAGGGATATATGGGAATTATCTGTGACCACCATGATAACATTAGGAAATGGGAGGACACCGAATTGTGCACATAAGAGATAGACGACAGATGCTAATACCATCCAATGTGTCCACAATACTGCTTTGCCATTAACACCAAACACCAGGCTACAGATAAATACATAAACACCCGAGATGATCAGACGGGAGTCAGTGAACAGAAGTATACTCTAGACCAAGGATAGATTCAGCTGAGGCTAATCTTGCACAGACGCCAGTGATACAAAACACCTGAAGCCCTTACAGAAACAATAGAAGACAGACAGAGTAATCCCTCACAGACAACCAGACACTATGGGAGAGAGATCCAATAGATCTACCGTCTCAGGACCATAGTACTGGGGGGCACCAGACTCAATAGGCACAACAAAATACATAAGAACCTTGCTCCACATCCTACATTGGTGAGTAGTAACTGGGGTCTTAAAAGCTTTCAAGCAGTTAATCATGCATCTAAGATGCAGTTAATGGTCTGCTAGAGTTGGAAGCAAAGAAGAACGCAAGAAAAAGGGGGGGGAGGCATTTGAAAGCAATCAGCCCTAGGACATGATGGCTCTCAAAACCAGAAGAACTAGATGGTGCCCAGCTACCAATGCCAACCACTCAGGAAAGGATCAAATCTGGAGATCCTGTATAGAGTGGGAGGGAAAACATGGAACAAAATTCAAAAACTCAATATTGACCAGAATTACTGGTCACATGAAAACTGGTGAGACCCCCAATGCTATGGCCCTGGAATACATTCTGCACCTGGAATAAAATGCACCCCCAAGGGCTGGCTCTCAGCCCAATAGTTAACAAGATGTATGGGCAGACCACTCAATGCAGGATGACGCACCCACTCTATGGTAATACATCCCTTAGAGCAATAGACAACAGGACACCGGAGGACCAACATTCAAACTGAGGAAATGCAGGACAAACAGGAGTATAAATATGAAGGGCACTGGGGGAGGGTTACAGGCTAGGGAGGGGAGGAGACTGGGTTAAGGTTGGACGTGGTAAATAGGGAATGAAACTAAATGTACACGTAATGTTGAATGTAAAACAAGTTCTTAAAATAAGAATATTAAATAAATAAATAAAACCCAAAAAAACTCACTGCCATCAAGTTGGATCTGACTCATAGCAACCCCTCCTTGAGTTTCCAAGGAAGTATCATTACAGAAGTAGATTGCCCAATTTTTTTTTTTTTTTTAAATACATAGGGATTTATTTGTCTTACACAGCCAGGAACAGAGAGGTAGGAGTTCAGTCATGATGTAGAGCAAGTGATGTCACCAGGACTCACTCAGGAGATTGCCCAGTCTTGTGTCAAAGCATTCAAAATATAAGATGAACTCATTCAAATATTTTTATATGGATTTTTTTCTTAAATAATTCCCCAAAAGAATAAGATATTGATATTATATACACATTAAACTGAGAACCAAACTCACTGCCGTCATGTAGATTCTGTCTCATAGCGACCCCCATTGGGGGACTGCCTCATCTTTATTCTGGCGGAGTAGCTGGTGGATTCAAGCCACTAATCTTTTGGTTAGTAGCCAATTGCCTTAACCACTACACCACCAGAATTCTTTATAAATGTATTATATGATATGTAAACAAAACAAAACAAAACAAAAAAACACACTAACATCTAGTCAATTCCAACTCATAGCAACCCCCATTGAGTTTCCAAGGCTGTAAATCTTAATGGAAGTAGATTGCCTCATTTTCTTCCCACAGAGCAGCTCGCAGATTTTAATTGCTGACCTTCTGGTTAGCAGCCAAATCCATGTGTGTGTGTGTGTGTGTGTGTCTATATATATGTGTGTGTGTACATATATGTATACACACACATACACATATATACATATTCATACATATATATAATTTTTCCATTAACTTAAACAAATCTCTGCTCCTGCAAAAAAAATGTATCTAATCTGTTATTTTAAATTGAGTAATAAATAACTACATCTCACAGAAGGTAGCAGTTCATACTGTCTAAATATGAAAGTCAAATCTAGGAGTGTGTGTTTTTTTTTTAAATAAATATTTCAATAGTGTGTGTCAGTTTAACATAAAGATGATCATTGCAGGAATGAAACATAAACTTGAGAAAAACCATGGAAAAAAGGTACCCAAAATAGTAAGTAGATGGTAGAGAGAGTCTGCAAGCAGCGTAATAGTTAATCAGAGGAACTGTGCAGTGTATCAAGCTGTGTAAGAAGAAAATAAAGTAGACCCACAGTCTGATGTCAAATAGAGTAGAGCAGAAAAGAAACTGTGTCAAGAAGGGGATTCTAGGCACACTTTATAAATTAATTGTTAAAGATAGATGTCCATGAATGTTTAAGATTTTTTTTTTTTTTTAATCTAGGAACTAGAGAATGTGGTTGGCAGCTGGACAGAAGACTTGGCACGGCTGACCCTGCTGAAGGACACCCTCTCTGCTTACATCAGTGCAGAGGACATCTCCATCCTCAATGAGCGCGTGGAGCTTCTGCAACGGCAGTGGGAGGAGCTCTGCCACCAGGTAAGACAAGCTCTAGACTCAGTCTCTGCTCCTAATGGTGGGAAACTGGGAGATGATTCAGAATCTCAAAGGGCTTGACCCACATCTGGACCCATCCCAGAACTCAGGAGGAATCCTGTGGTAACTGTGAGAATGTTTCAGCTAAAGACATATAGAGTTATTTTTCAATTAAATTTTTAACTGTTAAATGACTTCATATAGCATAACTTAACCATTTTAACGTGTAAGGTTCAGTGGCATTTTGTACATGCCAGTTGCTGTGTGACCACCACCTCTACCTAGTTCCAAAACACTTGCATCACCCCAAAAGAAAACCCTCTCTCCACTAAGCAGTCACTCCTTATTCCCTCCTTTGCCCAGTCTCTGGAAACCACAAATCTGCTTTATGTCTCTCTGGACTTACCTCTTCTGGATATGTTCTATAAATGGAATCATACAGTATGTGACCTTTTCTTCTGGCTTCTTTCCCTCAGCATGATGTTTTCAAGGCTATCCAGGTCGTAGTGTGTGTAGGTACTTCATTTATTTTTATGGGCAGATGCTATCCATTGTGTGGCTATACCACATTTTATCATTCATCAGTTGTTGGACATTTGGATAGTTTCCTCGTTTTGGCTGTTGTGAGAAGTGCTGCAAAGACATCTATATTTTTACATTACTTTTAGAGCCACCTTAACTGGATCTCTTGCTCTCCCTTTCACTAACTGGTATAGCATTTGTAATAAACAGTGCTATGGGTCATAGGTATACCTTTTCCTAGGTAGATATTGGTGGTCTCTACCATATTTTACGTGTGTCAAAAACCATTGTTCTATTTGCAATTTTAGCTAATACTGTGGAGTTAGTTTTGCACCTGACACATTTACTGTTGCTGTTGGCTTATGATAGGGTTTTTTAGTAATTCAAAGATTTATGGCACTTTTCATCATGCTTTATTCATTAATTAAGTACCTTCTGTGTGCACAATACCTTACAAGAGATCCCAGGTTGGGTTTTGAGTTGTAAGTGGAAAGGCAGAGATTGGCAGAAAGGCAGTGAGAAGACATCCTAGGCCAGGAAGAATAACAAGGTGAAGGCCTTCAGAGAACTAAGACTTTGGACACTGGCTCCTGTTTCCTTCCCAACCTGCCATCAACTGATGTGGCATGGACTGACTTCTTTTCCCTTTAGATTTTCTAAACCTTCTTCTTCCTGCATACCCTGCAGCCCCTGTCATGGCATTTTCAAGATGCTCACCTTCAGGACCATCCCCATCCTCGGCTTCCACTTCTTTTTTGATCAGCACAATCATGCGGCAGTGTATTTGTTATGGTTACCTAGTGCCGCTCTAACAGGAATATACCACAAATGGGATGGCTTTAACAAACAGGAATTTATTCCTACAATTTGGAGGCTTTAAGTCCAAGTTCAAAGTGCCAGGCTCTAGGGGCTGAGTGAAAGCCCCCCAACCGTGGGCTTCCTGCTCCCGGCCCACTGAAGCTGGAGGCTTTTCTTCACTCAGCTGCTGGCTGCTGAGGCTGACAAGCCCAAGGTCAACAAGGAACAAGGCACAGTCCCGATGTTACCAAACCACACAGCAGGCCATTAGTTCAAGTCCATTGAAAGTCTCAAGGTTGGCAGAACACGGCAGGCTGTTGAACAACTACACAGCTACATGCAGGGTTCAAGTGTGCCATAAGTTAGAGACTGTTCGCCAAGGCTTCTGCTTATATACCGGATGCAGACCACATCCCTAAAGCTGCTCACAGTAGATCCCACCATGGAGTTAATTACCAGTCTCATCATGGGGAATCCTACATCCAGCTGCCCAGCCATTCAACCAGGTCCAGCCAAGTTGACACACAAACTGAACTACCACAGTATTGTACTTCTTCTTCTTCTTCTTTTTTTTTTTTTTTTAATGTTTGTGACCTGATGCCAAGACTATGAATTCCTTGAGGGTAAAGACCATGCCTTTGTATCTATGGTGCCTGGAGCAGCTAAGTGTTTGTTATATATTGTTAATTATTAACACTTTAGGGCATTTGTTAATATATCTTTATACTTATATTCCTCTACATGTAAAATAATGACAAGATCTCTGAACAGCTTGGATATTAATAAGATTGTGATCATGCAATACTTTTTGTTTTCAGAAAAATGCTTGGGGAGTTATTGTTGTTCATGGTTAAATATGCCATAAAATTGCTCACCAGACTTGGATATATCTAAACAAGGGTCTGTTTGAAAATACATTTTGAAAGCTGTTGTTGGTCATATAATGTGCTCTTACACCTGGGAGAGGAGAAAGAATTAAGTAAAAAAAAAAAAAAAGAGGAAGCAGAAGGAACATATAGTGTTTCTAGAAACTTTATGTATTGAGTGTCTAGTGACATAAAGCTAAAGCATACTGACCTCACCTTCTTCTATCTAAGTTAAATTATTATTTAAACCAGTTTAGTCATGGGCATTCATACTTCAGGGGCCAGAATATAGTTTTACAGAGGAATATAGAGGAGTTACTAGTTACTTGAGTGAGTTGTTTCCGGCAAACTTCTATAAAATCTGAAACCACAAAAGGAAATGGGTTTGTGCCTATGTCTCATTTTAAAAGTCAAAAACTTTAGTTAAAAATGGCCTATGCCTCTGTTAAAGACCCAGTAGTCCTTTCCTGTTCATCCAAAGCAGTTGAGAAGTCGAGAGTCACTGGACTGCAGCTGAGAATGAGGAAGACACACTAGAAGTAAGTGTTGCTGATAGAGTTAATGTTTAAAAAGTAGCCTATTTTCCAATTGTCTCCAAAAATGGTGTGTTGTGCCTACGTATGGCCACGGCATACACCTCCTTCATTCCTGTGTTGGTCTGTGGATATGCGTGTAGTTCTGGTTGAGATATAAATACATCAACATTGTAATTGCTTGGTGTTTTCTCAAATTATCATAGTAAAAATATTTGAAGTAGAAAAGGATGCATTTCCTGTTCAGCTGCCTCACACTCTGTGGTTTTAGCTGATACTTGTCAGCTGTTGACAGTGCAGTCTGTTTGGACACTCAGTAAAATGTAAATTGGTAACCTGGGAAAATTTTGGGGGGTTTCATGGAACAGAAAGAAAGATATGGTAGTGTTCATTTATCAAACAGCCTAAAATTAGATTTACAGACCGGAAGGAAAATACTACCCCATTATGAACTTTGTTTACAAGCTCCCAGTTACAGTCTTATGTAAGCCTCTTTCTTCTTTTAGCTACAGCTCCATAGTAAGCAGATGAAAGCCATGCTGTCATGGAGTGTGATATACACGAAGGATGTAAATTCAAGCTGGTTAATGGAGATACTGAATACATGAATGCCAAAGAGAAAAAAGACAACCCAGATGATGCCCCTTAGAGGTGGTTACAGTGCTAATGGTAGCAAGGGAGTTCCTCGGTGGAGGAAATAGTTAGTAGATGCAGCTGCCAATTGATAGATTGGAAATTCCAATCCACCCCGAAATGCTTAGTGATCTACTTCAGAAAAATCAGCCACTGAAAACCCTGTGGAGCACAGTTCTACTCTGACACACATAGGGTCACCACATGTTGGAAGTGACTCAGTGGCCACTCTTTTGTTTTAGAAGTAGTAGTAATGTCCAGCTTTTGTTTAGGCCTTATTCTGCACCAGTCACTTTCTTATTTTTTTTGTTTGTGTTCTATTATTATTATACTGTATTTCAGCACATACCACAGTTCTTGGCAGATAATAGATACTTGTTTACTGCCAACAATAAACATTTGTTAATGACTTGGAACAAACAAATGATTAACTTATGAATGAATCAAGTGAGACTTAGATAAGATGAAAAACTCAGCCTGGTCCCAGCACCAGTAAATGATGCTTTTTTGAATCTCAGCTGCCCATAGACATTTGAATATAATGTTACATTGCAACCTTGGATCATAGACTTGAGCTTCGATGGTCCTATCTCATACTGACCATAAACAAATACCTCAAATTTGTCTAACTATCACTTTCCTTGACTGTGGACTGGGGATAATACCTGTTTCTCAAAGTAATAGATAATATTTTTTTATTATGTGTTCATCTTCCCCGAAGATAGTGTTGCGATGCCCTAGAATCCATTGAAGGCTCATGGCCATTGACAGACATTGATTTGGGGAAGCTATTCATAGCAAGACTTGTTAATCCTAAATCTGAACAGCAGGGTGTCTAACCTTTTCTTGGAAAACAGCTATTTTGGGTGGTCCCAATTACGGAAATGTAATTTCAGCTTGTGCATCAACTGAACTAGAATTTTACTATCAGCCAGACTTGTAACTCTGAAGTCCTGTGGAGGAAAAGGGAAGAGTTATATGTAACAGTAAATTTAAAATCTTCACATTCCAGCAAAAAATCAAATACTCTGCTCTCAGAATTAGAGAGGAAATGGATGCTAGAGAAATGGCAGTCACAGTCAGTACTTTCCTGAGTACAGCTGAAAATGGATGACACTTGGCTCCCAGGCTCTTCCACCTGTGTTTTCTTAGCCCTTTTCCATTCCATCAGTACCCACCCCAATGACTTCATGGCCCTCAAAGAAAGCTAAATGGTAAAGTGAAATTGTTGTTGTTGTTGTTGTTGTGTGCTGTCGAGTCGGACCCAACTCATAGCGACCCATCCTTGGGTTTCTGAGGCAGTATCACTATGGAAGTAGATTGCCCAACCTTCCTTCCGAGGAGTGGCTGGTGGATTTGAACTACCAGCCTTCTGGTGAGCAGTCAAGTGCCTTAGGCACCATGCTCCTACTGGGGAAATAGTAAATTGATTCTTCAAGTTTCATCCAACCCAGAAACATTTGTATTTTAAAATTTCATAATTGCTAGATGTTTCTGTTGTTTTGTGCCATAAGGTTGGTTCTGACTCATAGTGACCTTGTGTACAACAGAATGAAACACTGCCTGGTCCTGCACCATCTTCACAATCATTGCTATGCTTGAGCCCATCATTACAGCCACTGTGTCAGTCCTTCTCATTGAGGGCCTTCCC